CAACAGTGCAAGTAACGAATCAGTGTCAATCTGCTGCTGGAACGCACAGGCCTTGGCGATGTGCCTCCGGATTCATCAGCCCTGACAGGCAGCTACACTCAAAGTACTAAGTGCGACCATGCTGGCCAAGCCTCAGGCACAGTCTCTGAAGATCCTCATCGCCCTGCTCTCAGCAGTTTGAGGCGCACTCTCTCATGCAGTGCTCCTCTTGATCCTGGTTTCTCGGTAGCTTGAAGCGCACTCTCTCAGTGCTCCTTATGATCCTGCTCTCTCAGTGCCCTGAACAGCAATAGTAGTTAGTCTTCAGAATGGTTGCGACTGAGATGCAGGCCGTGTTGTTGGCTGTGATGAGAAAACGAGGCAGGGCAATTGACATTGAGTTGGCACACAGTACACTTCTGGTGTGCACGCAGCGGAGAACTGAGCCCCAGGCCTCATCCTCGGCGTGGCATTGCTTGCTGGCCTTGCATTGTCTCAAAGGCAGGTCGGTTAACTTCTGGCGTGTTGTCGATTATGCTTGCAGTCAACATTACCCTGAACATGACTGCACTGTGAGAGTGCGTTCAGCAGCGGGGACATGCCATGTCAATGTTGTCAGCACAACATGTCTTGTGACTGCATGTCATGCAAAAGATGCCACAGAACCCTTTTCGCGTCAAGGCACATGATCCGACATTCATGTCCATCTAGAGCAACACACTTTTCTGTTCACAGTGCAAACAGAGCCGCATACCAAGACTTTGAGATGCTTCGAAGAGTGACACGACCGAGGTTTGACAGCCAGTAACATGTCCACAAAAACTGGTGTCTTCTGTGCACATCTGCTTGCAAGAGTGACGCAATACATCCTGCATCAGAAATCATCATGACAATGACACAATACAACACATGATGAGCATGGATTTTGAGTTGCTCACGCACGAAGCCCCACTTAGCTGGTAGGGTTGCGCAAAGCTCCATGGCGCCGAAATATAACTGGACGATAAGAGGCAAATACGGACACTGGGAGGAGGTGACCCGCGGTAATGATGATGCTGGGGCCGGGCCACAAAGTTGGGACGATGCTGGGGCCTGGTCACAAAGGCGGGACAATGATGGGGCCTGGTCACAATGGCGGGGCGATGCTCGGGCCTGGTCAGCTCGAGGCGACGGTGGTGCTGCGACGTCAAGTGCAACACCAAAGGCTACACCTCCGCCACCACCACCAGCGGAGGCACCAATGCCTCCGCCAGCAATGCCTCCGCCAGCAATGCCTCCGCCAGCAATGCCTCCGCCAGCAATGCCTCCGCCACCAATGCCGCCACAGGAGCCAAAGGCCAGACCTGCAGCAGCAAAGCCAAAGCCTGCGGCTAAGAAGGCTATAGCAAAGCCACGCAGCAGGGGTGGCTCGCAAAACCACCGCGAGTACGAACGCTGGAAGGAGGACCATGCCCGCATGCAACGTGCGGAGTTCGCCCTACAACAATGTGAAGCCGCCCTCCAGGAAGCCCAGTACGAAAACTGGGCGCTCGAGATCTCCTGTGAAAAGCTGCAGGAGGCAAACAGCAACTTCTCGGTGCACTTGCAGCGTGCCCAGGACTCACTTCAGAACGAGAAGGAGAGAAACCAACGTTTGCTGGTGGACATATCCAAGAGCATGCACCAGAAGACGGAAGCAGAGACGAAGCACGCCGAGCTGGAGAAGAAGTTTATAAAGTCCATGACGGACAAGGACAAAATCAAGGAGGACAAGATCATGGAGCTGAAAGCCGAGCACAAGAAGGACTTGGGGGTCAAGGAGGCTGAGACCAGGAAGGCACTCGACAACATCGACGCCTTGAAGCGCGACTTCCAGTCTTACAAGGAAGCCGCGACGAAGGAGCTGAGGCATGAGCGATCCGAGAAGGCTGGGGGCTGGGTTCTCACCAGTTCGGGGTCTCGGTATGCAGAAGCGTGTTCCTGTAGCTGTGTCCGTGCACGGTGTTGCATAACTGGCACTTGCTATCAGGAACGCTACCAGCTTCTCTGCAGCAACTTCGAGCGGCAGTGGATCGAGGCTTGGTTCCAACCCAGCTGGCTCATGCTGCAGTAGTGAAAACAGTGAGAGGTCGCAAAGCCCGAAGTGCCGAGCCCGCTGAAGCCGGGGGCCGGGGCTTCGAACTCAGCTTGCGCCCATGCATTGGAAAGATACGACGTTGATCTGCTCAGGTACCACTGCGCTCGCCAGGGCAGGCACTTTCACTGGTGCTGCTTCCGTTCGTGTGCCATGATGTGTTGAAACTCCGTGCAGGTGCTTGCTCCTCCTCCTGTTCCGCCCAAGACATCTGCTGTGGCCAAGGCGATGTCTATCTGGTGCTACTTCTGCTCGTATCTCCATATTGGAAGAAGGTACAGCCCGAGACTATGGCCTCAAAGTCACGACTTGATGTGACGGCGGAGGCCTGGCCTTTCGTTCCCCAAAAAACGTTTGTGATGCGAAAGCTTTGTTTGATTTGAGCTATAGTGTCTTCCTGCACAGGGCTCCAAAGCCGGTACAAGTGTCATGCCGACGGAAGGGGCTGCCAAGGCCCAATCTCGATGTTTCACACACGGACACACACACAGAGACATACACATGATGTTTGATTGGGGAGGCGCCTGCTGTCTCCACACAAGAGCCCCCTACAGCGAAGGCCAGGTCATTGGCTAGTGGCCCCTTAGGTTCGCAGCTGTCGTCTAACACAACCCTTGTTTGCAGAGGTGCTTGCCTCAGCAGAAGCATCGTCGGCGACTATGGGGTCAGAGCCAAAGGCTCGTGGAAATCCAGGCTAATTGCTTGTCTGACCTGTTGTTGGGTAGGCGAAGAAACAGCGAATCATGCAGCCGACATCGAAATCCCGCAGTCCTGTGACGATGGCCCCGGACTCAACGACAGTGGCCACAAGGAACATTCACATGTGCACCAACGTCTTCGGCAGGTGCCCCTGCCAAAGACTCCGATGGAGGCAGTGGCAGAGTTCTTGAACCCAGTGTTGTTTGCGACTCATTGAAAAAAGAGCCCGTCCATTGTCAGGTTCCGCCCCCAGCCACTCCGGTTGAGGCATGGAAAACCACACTCTCTTTCCACATCGCTTGTTTCGTCCATTGTCAGGTTCCGGCCCCAGCCACTCCGGCTGAGGCATGGAAAACCACACTCTCTTTCCACATCGCTTGTTTCAATCAATATTAAGCAGCACACCCATCGACACGACACTTACTTCACCAAACATGAGCAGGTGCCGACCACGACAACGATGCATCGGAATCGACCGGCGCCGAAAACACCCATACAGGCCGATCCGGAATTAATTCAATTTCTATCGATCCTTTTGTGCATCTGGTCAGGTGCGCAAATCCCCTCCGACACCAGCTTCGGAATCGCCACAGCCACACACGCCTACCGACTCGGCATGATCTTCTTTGTGTGCGGTCAAAACATATTGCCAGTTTCTGCGACCTCGACTTTTGCACGATTGCATATGTTTGTGCACGACACGACATGCAGAGATGTGGCAGGCCAGAAAATGCATCCTGCTTCAAGTGCAACGCCAGCTCCTGAGAGGAGCGATGTGCTTTTATTGCACACTGAAGGAACCTGTGTGAGTGTGAATTCACAAACACACCAAGAGCCCTACAATATCACACATATACGATTCACATCATAAATTTCTGCATACATACATACATACATACATACATAATACATACAGACATACACATATAGGTTTGGGGGTGGCAACAAAGGTATTTGAAGTGAGGGTTTCGGGGGGGGGGAGTGGCATTTTGATTTTTGTTGGGGAGGGTCGGTTTCGCGGCAGGTGGTTGGGTGGGAGGGGGGAAGGGTTTAGGAGGAAGGTCGGTTCGTTTTGGGGGGAGGTCGATGCGGAAGGGGAGGAGGGTCGGGTGCAGGGCACGTTTGGTTTTAGGTTTGGGGTTGAGGGCTGGGGTTTACGGCTTAGGGTTGATGAACCCTGAACCATGAATCCTGAACCGCGAAGTTTGGTAACAGGCAGATGATGAAAACAATTATAATTACTTATAATCCCAATCAAAGTCCCATGATCCTCCAGTTACTGTTCATGAACCCGTGGTCGACTCAGGCTGCTGCCAAGCGGATCATCACGCTCTTCACGGCATCCTGCGCAGGTCGGAGGACAGACTCGGGGGGTTCGTGGGGTGTGGTGGTGGTGGGTGGTGGGGTTGTGTGGGGGTGGGTTGGGGGGGGGTGTGGGGGTGGGTGTGGGTGTGGGGGTGTGGGGTGTTGGGGTGTGGGGTGTGGGGTGTGGGGTGTGGGGTTGTGGGTGGGGGTGTGGGGTGGGGTGTGGGGTGGGGGTGGGGGGTGTGGGGTGTGGGGTGTGGGGTGTGTGGGGTGTGGGGTGTGTGGGGTGTGGGGTGTGGGGTGTGGGGTGTGGGGTGTGGGGTGTGGGGTGTGGGGCGTGGTGGCGGTGGTGGTGGTGGTGGTGGTGGTGGTGGTGGTTGTGGGGTGGTGGTGGTGGGTGGTGTGTGGGGTGTGGGGGTGTGGGGACCAGGTTTGGCCAGGTGTGGCCTCTTCAGCCATGACCACGCCCCCACACCCCACACACCGACACTCTCCCAGTGTCTGTTTGAGGCACTCTTTCAGTGCCGGTTTTGGCCCTCTCTCAGGGCCGGGACACTCTCACAGTGCCCCTGGTTTCGGTCCTGTCTCAGGACCGGGACACTCTCCCAGTGCCCCATGTTTCGGTACTCTCTCAGTACCGGGATGCTCTCTCAGCACCCCTGCTGCTGGTGGCTCTCTCTCAGAGCCACGCAGCAGCCAACCCTGAACGAACCCCGTCCTTGCCGAAGTGCTCGTAGATGTTCAGTCAAAGATCAGGAGTCGATGGCGAGACGGGGGAGTTTGGTGAGTATTAGGGCTTAGGGGTGGTGTGGCGCAGGGCTTATGTGGGTGTTATTATGAGGATTTAAGTAATTAAGGTTTCGAATTTACAAATCACATATGGTCTAAGGGTCTAAGGCTCTGGTTTTAAAGGGCTTAGAGAGCTTAGGGCGGAACTTATTTAAGGGGTCTAGACGATTTAGGGCCGAGGATTCAGCGTTTTAGGGCATCCCAGCAAAGGTTTACAGGTTCTATTTAGGGATATTGGATTTGGGAACCACAAGCCACTGAAACTCCCAACCCCCTAAATCAATGACCCGTGCTAAAGCCACACCCTTTTCATTGCTTTGGAAAACCAACGACCCTCAGGGGTCCAAATCTCCTAGGTTTGAGCCCTAGAGTTTTGTTGGTTGGAGCAATTGCAGAGTTTTCTCTTCGAAACATATCCATGTCAAACCCATCTGCTGCTTCGACTGAGTTTCGCTTTTCGGAAAACGATTTCCTTTTGATGTGTTTATCTAAATCCGGAATCCATCTTCTTTGTGTACTTGCTTTCAAAGGTTTTTCTTTCACTCGTTGTGAAACACACAAGATCAGGTGTCAAATCAGGATGATCAATTTCATGTGCAGTGCCATTTTTAACAAAAACAAAAAGGAACAGAAGCCCTGAGAAAAGGGACGGATGCCACGAAAATCCTTTCCATACTTAAGGCATCCCGCCGCTTGCGAGAGTCTTGGTATCCAGTGTTTCGGAATGACGACACCAAAATTCGTACTGATACTACCACTACTAATACTACTCACAATCATCCTGCTTCGTGTTGCTATGAACATTACTTTTACTATAAGTGCGATTCCAACTGTTACTTTTTTCCTACAAGAGCTTGCTGCAGATAGTAGCCACTCGCCGCATGCGCGTACAGCCGGGCCGAGGCGGACGACGCGCAGCGTTTCAAATTAGGGCAACCCCACTTGAGGGACTTATAACCCCAGTTATAACCTACTTACTAAGTCCCCATGATCCGTTAAGTAAACCATTTAGGGCTAGGGTTTAGGGTCTACGGGGCCCCCTCATGGGTGGTTTTCTAGATGAGGAGATCAACGGCTAGAAGCCCCAACAAAAAACCAAGCCAAGGACCCGAAACTGAAAGGCTCAAGGTTCCTACTAAACTAGGATACCCAGTAACCTAAGAATAAAAAGGCGGTATTGGGTAACTTTATAAGGAACCTAGGACTACAAAAAGGGAATAAGGGTACATCCTACTAAATTAGGGTTTTAGCTCCTTCAATGGTAACCGAAAGGCTCAAGGCTCCTATTAATGGTTAAAGATTTCTAGCTCCTTCAATGCTTCTGATAGGTTAGGTTCACATTGGGTGTGACTGGATCCTCTTTAGGTTTGCTTTAAGAGCTCATTCTTAAGGGTTCTTTAAGGAATGGAAGGGCTTAGGGTTTTGGGCGAATAAAGCCTGGTAGTGTCGACCCCTCTACAGCACACCGAGAGGAGCCTTCATAGGAACCTTACCCAAAAGAAAAACAAAAACGCCCTGGAGCCTAAACCTTTCTGCCTAAACCAACCTTCCTCCCTAAACCCAAAACCCAAGAAGCGAAAAAGCCCTAAACCCTAAACCTTCCTCCCTAAACCCTGAACCTGAGAAGCGAAAAAGCCCTAAACCCTAAACCATCCTCCCTAAACCCTAAACCTAAGAAGCGAAAAAGCCCTAAACCCTCAACCTTCCTCCCTAAACCCTAAACCTAAGAAGCGAAAAAGCCCTAAACCCTAAACCTTCCTCCCTAAAACCTAAACCTAAGAAGCGAAAAAGCCCTAAACCCTAAACCTTCCTCCCTAAACCCTAAACCTAAGAAGCGAAAAAGCCCTAAACCCTAAACCTTCCTCCCTAAACCCTAAACCTAAGAAGCGAAAAAGCCCTAAACCCTAAACCTTCCCCCCTAAACCCTAAACCCAAGAAGCGATAAAGCCCTAAACCCTAAACCTTCCTCCCTAAACCCTAAACCTAAGAAGCGAGAAAGCCCTAAACCCTAAACCTTCCTCCCTAAACCCTAAACCTAAGAAGCGAAAAAGCCCTAAACCCTAAACCTTCCTCCCTAAACCCTAAACCTAAGAAGCGAAAAAGCCCTAAACCCTAAACCTTCCTCCCTAAACCCTAAACCTAAGAAGCGAAAAAGCCCTAAACCCTAAACCTTCCTCCCTAAACCC